TCTTTCCCTTTTTGATTCAGCTGTGAGGTTTTTAACATGGGGAGGGATCGCGTCGGGAGCTGTGTCTCATTTTGCTCTCTTACACTCCAGACGCGCTTTCCCTTTAGCAGTAAAGGATGTGCAGCTCTTGGGCTGCGAAAGCTGTGAGGCTCAAGTATTACATTTGTTTTGTGGGTGAGCTCTTGTTCACTGCTAGTTGAATTCCAGGGAGAAGGTTTGTAATAGCATGCATTCTCCTTTTAAATAGCCTGTGCTATTCACCTGAGTGAGGGGGCCTCTGCATCCTGACAGGGGATTACCAAAAGGAGCTCCCGCTTGTGCTTCTGGTTTAGCAGTAGGTGCTGTGCACCCGTTTTGTGTTCAGAAAGCCTTTCTAGATGCTTTTCACTGGTTAGTAACCTCCTGCTACAGAAATATTACAAAATAATACTTGGTGCTTTTTAGTGGTTTACATCTTTGAATTCCCAAATACCCAAACAACTGGCTAATGAGAATGTAAAACCTCGTACAACAAGCAATGCAAAGTGATGAAGAAGAAATGCTTTGGATATAATTTATATTGAGGGAATATATTTAATGTGCAGACATGATTATTTTTTTTTAATTAAGAAAATGGAAACCAACATTTTGACATAACCAGTTTAATGACTCTCTACCCAGGGTTGTAAAAGCCTGTTCCTTTAAACATGCATGTCTAACTTTAATGGGTAGTCCTATGGACTGCAGTGGTCTATCTGAGAAGGTGTGTTCATAGGTGGAAGCCCTTGTTTTTGAGGACGCATTTATTGGGCAGTTTCCACTTATACCAGATTTTATTATACAATGCTACATAGTTTTCTGAAGAAAAAAGTGGAAAAATGTTAGTATTTTTTTGTGCATGAATACCTAATTGCAAAAATATTTCAACTATTTAGATTAGCTATCTGAGATCTGTGGACTGTTGACAAAGCATTTTGCTGTTCTGATGGCTTTTTGTCTCATTTCTATACATTGTTTTATAGGCAAGTGCACGCTCAAGCTAATTTTGATTTTAAAATTATTTATTCTTGAAGAAAGGTAATACCAAATTTTATATTTCAAGGGTAGGATAAATCTCAAAAGCAGATTCCTGATGGAGACAGTCATTCACAACACCTTTATGGCCTTCAAAAATGCGTTGCCTGCTTGAAGAGGGGAAAGCTAATAAACACCAACATGCTAAAAACCTGTTACAATGGGCCTAAACAGAGAAGTGATGTTTCTACTCTTATGTATTGGAAGAAATTACTATTAGCACTGCTGCCTCCCCCTAGAGTTTTTGAACTACCATGTGGATTAGTGTGTTGCTGAACTGTTAAGTGTGGGGGGGGAGACCAGATACTTGCTTGTCTGACGTGGATAGGAAGCATCATCCTGATAAAGCTATGTAGTCTGAGAGCTATATTTCATTTATATATAATAAAGACAATGACACTGTAGTTACTTGCCACACTACAAAGATGACTGAGCTGTGGAACTACCTATTTCAGATCCTTGTTACACTTCTTCATTGCATTTTTCCAAGTTGCCTCACACCCATTACAGCCTATTTTAATTGAGTTGATCTTGTGAATGGTTGCATCTGTGTCTGCTTTTCATGCAATCAAAAGATAGGTTCAGAAAGAGCCTTATCATCCTGCCCAAGGCCATGATTGTTTCTGGCCTGTGTTTTTTTGATCTTGGAGACATCCAGAAAATCATCCTATTGAAAAAGCCAAAGCACTTCTCTACAGCCACGTTGTTATCTGCAGGAAGCACGCATCTCTGCTTGCACCTTAACCCCAACTGGAAGAACTGACAATCATGGAGCCTCCAACCTGAGTCCAATTGCTTTCAGAGTCCAGAGTTTCTAAGATCAGGGTTTAAGGGCTTAAATGGGAATGGGAATAGTGCAACTCTAATGAGAATAGGTTAATACAGCTTCTCTTTGTGTGTCTTATAATTTGTCTTAAAAGTAATAACCAGTGGTATTTTTTTAACTGGTGTAGATTTTACTTACTTTTTGTGGTCAAGGCTGTGTACAGTGCTCTAAGTATTTCCACCTTCATCCCCTGTGTGTAAGTCAGGGCAGAATGAAAACATAGTCAGTCCTTAGAATAAACAGAGGATATTAAAGATTACTTTCAGTGGCAGTACTTAGGTTTTCAAGAGCAAGAAACCGGTAGTGTGAAGTTTCCCACTTATGTGTAGTATATGGAACCTGAGAGAATAGAAAACAGAACTAAATGTAATGAAACCATTTTGAAATGGGTATCTTCTTTCTGTGAATGGCCATGAATCACCTCAGCAAATACGTGTGTCTCAAGGGGAAATGAGATTGGCTGTGAGAACTGTTGTCTGCTTTGAAAAGGTGCCAGATAGCAAGAAGCACCGTTATTCTTGGAATTCCCTAAGAAAAATTATGACCCTGAACTACATCCGAAACAGGCTAGAAGCTAACCTGTGAAATCTGGACTAAAATGCTTGTAACGTTTTTGTTGAATCTTCTAAAGAGGATGCTGCTGAAGTCTTACAATTTATGGACCTGTAACTCACTGGTTATAGTCCTAACACAATTTCAGACACGGTGGGTGAGCCGAATTCTCTTTCTAGTTACTGGGATGTTAGATCTGTATCATAGGAGTCGATGCATGTATTTATGTGTTTAAGCTGCTTTTTCCTTCCCTGATTTTTTG